TAGTGGTGGCGGTAGCGGATGCAGAGCGCGCGCTGCGAGTCGCGCACGCCGGGGTGGCTCACGGTGCAGATGCGCCGGTAGATCCGGAAGAAGTTCTCCTCGGAGACGGCGCCCACGGGCCGCACCAGCACCAGGAGGGTCTGGTGGTCCTCGGCGCACTGCATGTAGTCGGGCACGCTCATCCTGCAGCCTGTCGGAGGGGAACGACACCTTGAGACGCAGCTCAGAGGCCTGTGCACTGCTGCGAGGCCGGTGAGCCCCGGGAAAGCTGCCAGGTCACCTGTCCTCAGAGCGCCATGTGTGCCCTGCATGGCACTGGAACTGCCAGGTGCTGGCCTCCTGGACTCAGCCGTGAGCCTGTGCAGAAAGGGGGCTGGTCCTTGTCTTTCTGTTCCCGCCACCTAACCGGGCAGAGGTACAGGTCAGTGCTCAGAAATGTCTGCTAATGAATCATGAGCACATGAGCCAGTGCCCATCCCCATGCCCCCGGCCAGATACAATGAAAAACACACAGTGTAATCAGATCCGAATGGGAATTCCAGTCTCCCTCAGCTCCTCAGCTACAAAATAAGGGAGATAAGAAAACTTGCCTATACAACTGTACCTGGATTAAAGGGGGTCGCAGGCTGGCCAGTGAGGTCAGCTGGTCAGAGCAGGGTGTTATAACGCCAAGGTCAAGGGTTCATATCCCCTGCACGGGCCAGCAACCAAAAAAAAATTAAAATAAAGGAGGTTGCAAATGTAAAGCACCTAGCATAGTGCCTGACATAAAAGGAGGGATTACACGAACATACAACCCCTCCTTTATAAATGACAGTTTTCTAACTTCTCTGAACCAGTTTTGTCAGATATAAAANACCCCTCCTTTATAAATGACAGTTTTCTAACTTCTCTGAACCAGTTTTGTCAGATATAAAAAGAAGACAATATCACCTGATTCCCAGCACTGTTAAAGAATTAAATTAGCTAGCCCATATGAAAGAATCTGGCTCCTAGGAGGTACACAATAAATATTTGTTGAATAAATGAATGAATGACTGAACAAATGAACAACCAAATGAATGCTGCCCCATCCCACAGCCCATAATGGAAACACCACTGCTGCAAGTCAGAAGATGATGTCAGCTCCCAGCTCTGCACTTACTTCCCGGATGACCTGGGGCGAGCCTATGTACTTCCCCAAACCCACTTCATTATGAGTAAAAAGGATAATAACACAGACCTCAAAGGGTTAGTGAGTCAATATTCTGGTTTTGATCATGTACCATACTATAGATTTGCAAGATGGTCTACTGGAGGAAATTGGGCAAAGGGAACACAGGCTCTCTCTGCATTATTCCCTATGACCGCATGGGCATCTCCTACTATATCTTGGAATTAAAAGTCAAATTTTTTAAAAGGTTACTGAGATTAAATGAGCTCACAGTATCAAATAAGGAATATGAAATCACCTACCCCATAAGATGTACTCAGTAAATATCTCCACTGTCCCATAAGTATGTCCGTGCTTCTTCCGAGCATGGAGCTGTGGTACCCACAGCCAGAGGCGCCTGTACCATGAAGCTAATGGAGCTTAGGCTTCAGACTCCCACCTGCCAGAGCCCCTTCCACGGCTCTTTTTCTAATTTTGTATTTATAATTTTGTTTTCTTTTTCTTAAATAGGAAACCCAAATTGTATAACCTTCAGGTCACCAAAGCCTGACTGTGGAGATCATGACAGTAGCCCTCCCAGGTGAACAATAAAATTAAAAGGACAATTCTAAAAGACCTGTGGATAATTCTAATGGCAGGATTTCATCCTGGATGGAGAGGAAGAGAATTGATATGGGGAGGGCAATTCTGGACATGCAGGTCCTGGGGCCATCTATCCCATGATGAACTTTAGATCTCAACTCCCTTCCTCCACAAATTTCAAAAATACACATTTAAATTTAAATTTTTAAATTAAAAAAAAA